GAAAGGAACGTCGATTTCGTCGAATAACACTCGCTCTCACGTCGGTCGCCCTGCGAACCGGCCACTAAAACTAAACTGCGGTCGAGATTGAGTGTGACAAACTTTTCAAGCGTTCGCCACGAGGTGATTAATTTCGAAAGTTATTCCATAAACAGACTGTCACCGGTTCGGATGCCAATGTTTCGAGTGTTTTTCGCCTTCGAGAGAGGACCTGCAGGATAATCTGTGAACGATACGAAAAGTGGAAGATGGGTAAGTGGAAGAGGGGAAGGGATGTGAAGTGTGCGCTTACCCGTGGAGACGAATAGTCTACCTGTGTCGAATCTTTTTTAAGTGCAAAAGGATTTTTTTACTCAAATAGGTAGTACCCAAGTCGATTACGAAAAAGTCGTTTCAAATAATTCTTTTCAAGGACTCCTTCGTCTTATAACAGCAAGAGTTTTTTCAAAAGAAAGAAAATATATTTGAGTTTTACAATATTGTCCAAAGGGAAAACTGTTTTGTGAGACAATATCTTTACACTTCGTTCAGATGAACAAACGAAGAGAAAATTTCAGTGCGTGTGTATGTGCGCATACTTTTACTGATTGAAAAAAAAAAAAATGAATAACCGACATGCTAGTGTGTATTTCAACAAATATCCGTTCTATTTGGTAGTTCCAGTATCTGTGCAGCTTTGCGGAGGGTGGCAAAGCGCAAGCGAGGCACAAGAGAGAGATGAAGAGAGGAAGGGGTAGACACGGAACGAGAGGGAGATAGATAGATAGATGACGGCAATGTACAAAGACGCTTCAGGGGTGACGAGAGCGAGTGCGAAGGGGGTGGACGGGTGGCGAGGGGATCTGCCTGCCTGATGGAGCTTGAAACTGAATTAACCATCCCCGCCCGGGGCCCGTGATCTCGTCGCAACCTCATCTCGGCGACCATTATATTTGTCTTTGTATGCTAAACATTTTGTGGAATTATACGAGACAGGTTTCGAAGAGTCGTCCCTCCCGCGCTCCCTCCCCCGCCTCTCACTCTTTCTCCCTCACCTCCTCCTTTTTCCGCCCCTCTGATCCTGCTTGCGTCCTGTCATCTCCGGCACAGCGTGATCGAGAAACGATAACGATTACGGGGCATTCCTCCCTGGCGCGCAAGATTACTTTCCAGGCGAAAAAAAGCGATCGGTGAAATACCGGCAATTTTACACGCGTGCACTTTTTTCGCGCGCGCGCTCTTTCCCTCGAAAGAGCGCAGCAAGAATTCGCGAATAAACTCATGTGACGAAGTTTGTTTCGCTAAATGCTCGACTGAAAATGAGCGCGTTTAAGAATGCATTATCGTTTCTCTCATTGACACGCGAAGGGAGTTGACATTTTTCGATTTCTCGCACGTACCGGGAATTTAAGTTTTAAGACGTACGAATTTGGAATTCTATCTGCGATTCTGTGAATTTTCACGAAGGGACAAATTTTTTCTGATAACTATAATGCTTGTAATTCTCTCCAGGGAGAGAGAGAGAGAGAGAGAGAGAGAGAGAGAGAGAGAGAGAGAGAGAGAGAGAGAGAGAGAGAG